ATTTTTCATACTTAGTCAATATTTTTACATAAAATAACTTTTCATCTATAATATGAATGCATGAAAGAACCTAAGATCAATCTAGGTAAAAAAATCTTAGATGTTCAATCCACTATGGTGTTAAACCTTATTTGGTTTTTGTTAAAACTTATTGAAAATTAGTCTATGGAGCTATGAACTAGCTTGGTTTATATGATTTAATGTTTACTTTTATTTCTAGAAAGACTATAGAAATTGTAAGTACCAAAAAAAAAAATAATCACTAAATTTTAAAGCTAATAACTTTAGCTAGCCCACCCGTTGAAAAATTTCTGGTTCCGCCCTTGGTCATGCATACACATCATGATCATTTTTTGTTATTAATATTCATCCAATGCAGTATGAATTACATGCCACACGATTGGAGAGTCTAAAGCAGAACGTTGCTAAAACGTTGCTGGCTGCATCCACCAGTAACAAAGGCAGCTCTGCCAGTACTTGTTCCGTTTTAAAGCTTATCGACTCAATGCAGCGGTTGGGAGTGACCTACCATTTTGAGCAAGAGACCGATGCAGCTCTACTTAGTCTCGTTTCTTCGAGCACTCATGGTACCGCAGATGATCTTCACACAGTTGCCTTGCAATTCCGGATACTAAGAGAACATGGCATCTCTATTAGCCCAGGTATAAATTTCACATACTATGGCATCTCTTTACTTCAATTATCCTAACCATCTGTTTTTCCTGTATTTCAATTCTTACTGTACTTGTGGATGATGGTGACAAATGAACAGAAGTGTTTAACAAGTTTAGAAGTAGAGACGGAAGCTTCAAAGACAGCTTAAGCAAGGACGTGGAGGGACTTTTGAGTTTGTACGAAGCGTCACACCTTGGGATGCCGGGGGAAGAAGAAGATCATGTTTTGGAAGAAGCCAAGAGTTTTAGTACCAAAAACTTGAGACAACTAGTAGGAACATTGGAAGACGATAATTTATTGAAGCAAATAGTAGAGCAATCACTAGAAACCCCCCTGAATTGGAGGATGCCAAGAATAGAAGCCCGGAACTTCATCGATATCTACGAAAGAGACAATTCTAAGAACCTGGCTTTGCTTGAATTGGCCAAGTTGGATTATAATCTTGTCCAATCAGTATACCAAATGGAGATAAAGGAGCTATCAAGGCAAGACATCTATGTTTATTATTTTAATCAAACTGCATCATTGACAAAAACTAGACTGAATGTGTTTAATCAGATTTGATTGTTGTCCGCAAAACGCATGATGCAGGTGGTGGAGGGACTTGGATTTCAAAAACAAGGCAAGTTTCTCAAGGGATAGATTGATGGAGAACTACTTGTGGGCAATGGGGATCAATTATGAGCCCCGATTCTCAGAATGCAGGATTGGCCTCACCAAGTTTGTTTGCATATTAACAATAATTGATGACATGTATGATGTCTATGGATTTCTGGATGAGCTTGAGCACTTTACACAGGCAGTATGTCGGTAAGATGTAGTTGAGATGTTTTTGTTTTTTCCTTGGAATTTTTTTTTTTTTTTTAATCACTGAATAATTCATAGATCATAGAAATAATGGTGCCATTGCACGGGATACGTGAGATACCAGTCACATTCAAATATAATATATTTCATATTTGTTCGCTTTTGTATGGATTTTGCTTGCGAGGCGCTCACACACACACAATCTTTCTTTTGTTTTCTTGTAGCTAAGCTAGATCATCAATTGTCTTCACATAATCCTTTCTTTGACCTATACAAAGTTACATAATTAATTACGACGTAATCATCTTCACTAGTAGGTAATCGAGACACATGCTACCTAAGTTATTATTTATTTTTCTTTGTTATAATGGAAAATAATTGAACTCTTCACTTTGTCTAATCCTAATTCATTTTCCCGACCCTTTACAGCTTACCTACCTAGTTTAAATTTTCAGTCAAATAATCATTTCAAGTTGTCAATCTTTCTTTTTCCTTCCTCATTTTTTTCTTTTTGTTGTTGTTTTTACACAGATGGAATATGGAAGCAAAGGAGGAGCTTCCCGAGTACATGAAGCCAGTTTATGCTGCCATGCTCAAATTTGGCAACGAATTAGCTGATAACGTTTTTAAAAATAATGGTTTGGACGTCCTCCCTTATATTAAGAAAGAGGTAATTACGGTGAAATGTATATCCACATCTCTTCTCATATATATAGAGCTCTAGTTGAGGGATCCCTCATATAAGCTTATTTGAGGGACATCTTTGTATGTAGTGGTGGAGACACTCCTAGGTCTGAAGTGGCCCTAGCCCCTCTAGATTTTTATCCCTCCTCTATTATATTTTATATAATATATAGAATTTGTAATAAACAACTTATAATTTAAGTTCTGCGTATCCCACTAACAGTAAATACGTCTTCTTTTCTTTTCTTCTCCTCCTTCTTTTTTTTTTTTTTTTTTTTTTTTTTTTTTTTGGGTGTCTGTTTGCAGTGGGTAAATCTTTGTAAATCATATTTGGTAGAGGCACGGTGGTTTTACGGAGGATACACGCCAACTTTACAAGAGTACTTAGACAACGCATGGACTTCAGTGGGTGGCCCTGGTGCTCTTCTCCATGCTTATTTGTTGCAAGGATTAGGAAGCCACCTCACAAAAACTTCACTTGAGTCCTTTAAGCATGGCTCTGAAATTGTATATTGGTCATCCCTTATGACTCGACTTAGCGATGATTTGGGCACTTCCAAGGTAACATATGACTTAACTAACGAACAAGAAAAATGCTAGTGTCACTCGCGCGAATGGTTGACATTGCATCATGAGTCCACGTGTGATTGATGCTAGCACAACTCGTATCTTAGTATCTTCTATATGTAATGTATATATAAGCTTAATTAACTTATTAGCAAACTTGATAGTTAAGTTCTAATTATTCTGTTTTTTGCACAAATTATAAAGGCTGAAAGTGAGAGAGGTGATGTGGCTAAAGCCGTAGAATGTTACATGGAAGAAAAAGGCACATCTGAGGAAGAAGCACAGCACTACATAAACGATTTGATCTGCTATTCATGGAAGAAAATGAATGAGGAGAGTGCAAAAACTAGCAGGATACCAAAATCAATTGTAAAAATGTCACTCAATATGGCGCGGACTGCTCACTCTATCTTTCAACATGGCGATGGTATTGGAACTTCAATTGGGGTCACCAAAGATCGTTTAATTTCTTTGATTGCAAATCCTATTCCTATATATCATGAACACAAGTGACCAAGATCACTGGATTTATTGTAATAGACTAGATTCTTAATTACAGGCCTCCTAAATTGATCGAAGCTGAAAGGCTGAAAACAATTCTATAAACACTCAGTTTGATGTGAATTTTCTGTTCTTAAGCGTTTTTGCTAAAACTGCTTTTACTGAAAACGCTTTTATGCTAGAAGTACTTTTACTAGAAACACTTTATGCATTCACCGTTACAACAATTCGTGCTCTAAAAGGGTAAAGCACCCATAAAGTTCCATGTCCCGTGTCTTTCTTTCTTTTTTTCTTTTTTTTATTACTTTTTGTATTGAGAGGTGCGATAGTATGTTAAACTCACACACACTACATGGATATTGCTAAGACTCGAACCTAGGACCTTTTCTGGGAGGAGCAATTGCTCCAAACCACTACACTATTGGGTTTTTTGCTCCATCTTCTATAGTAATCCATGGTCTTTGGAAAATAAAAGAAAAGGAAAAAGGCACCTAACAATATGATCTTGAGATAAGCAGCATTATTGAATATAATCCATTCCTTTTATATGAAATTAATTGGGGAATAAAGAGAGATTAGCACTAAAATTGTCTCACATGGCACTAAGTGAGTGGTAAAGGGTAGCATTGTCATTTCACAGTCAGGAGGCATGGTGTGTAAGCATGAAACGGATGGATAAGTAAAGTAATTTGGCAAAAGGAAACATATATATAAGAATGGACTGAATGATTGATACTGAACTGGGTTTTAGTAAGTGGATGCAGTGGCAGATATGTAATATGCTACACAAAACAGGCCATGAACAAAACACACGATCCCTCCAATTGATAGAAAATGATGGTGTGTGAAGCCACATGAAGCTCTTGACTTGTGGTTTGACCAAGTCCCAATCACCAGCATGGCCAATCCAACCCCAAAAATGATCCTGATCATCAAATGAAATTAACAATTAATCTTAATTAACCAATAATCTCATCATGTAATTTGAGAGAGAGAGAGAGAGAGAGAGCATATATATGCATACCAGGTGAAGACGAGGCAAGCCACAGAAAGTTGCTTACTAGGAGGTGCCTTTTGGAGCTCTTCTTGAGAACAAATGCAACTGCATCCACCAAGCAAGTTAGCAACAACATGGGCTGCAACCAAAAGTCCTGCTGCGGCTAATCCTAGCTTGAAAGCTGCATGGCTTGGTTCTCTGCACTCGAAAATCCATAGCCTCAAGTGCTTGACCTGAATAGTTTGAATTATATTCCCAAAAGCTATGAACATAAACATTCCATTAACAAAGAGAATCATTGTCAGAAAGAAATTAATATACCTTGTTTTGTTCAAGCTCTGCTTCGATGCCCAGAATCCCACCTACGATGTCCATTGCCACGATCAAGAGGCACACGAAAAACCCACCTAATCTTGCCATTCTCTCTCTCTCTCTCTCTCTGAGCTGAGTTTGTTTTTGGATGATGAGCAGGAAGGGAGAAATATGAAATATGAATGGGGAGAAAAAAGAGTAAGGGGGACGAATATGTGTGAAAGGGTGCGTAGGAAAGTATGTAGAATGGATCATAGCTGGGAGAAGTGGGTAAAAAAGCTTCTTTTGTCTACACAGTGGAAGCTTTATTTTGCTTTTGGGTCTTTTTTCTCTTCTTTATATTTTTTATTTGGTCTTGGATGGATTCCTTTGATGGGGGAGCAAGAAAAGAAGGGCATAAACCAGCTCATAGAGGAGCGTGCCTAAGCATCTTTTCTTACACCACCCATGTATGCCCAAAGATGAATCGGTGGGTAATTCTCTGATCTTCAGAACCTTTTTGACTTTTCATGTGGAAGATATTTTTGAAACCATTGATTTGATTGTGACCAATGTGTCGATCATTTTCTTTCTCCAAGCTTCAGAAATTTTGGTAACGTTTTCACACATCCTTAATTTTAGGACATCCATATCCTCCGCAGTGAAGTGAGTTATAAATTCTCTGAGTTGGTGATTAGATTCTAGTACTTGAAGCTGTTAATTCTAAGGGAACTAATCAAATAAATTAATCAAATGAAGAAATAAGTAAGGCAACACGTGGAATAATGAATCGTGATGGAGATAATTGAAGGTATTTAACGTAATTCGAATCAGAAGAGCAATTGGACTTTCAGGTGTGCCGATAGTGCAACGCTTTAATGTGGGCCTTTTCATGTCTTGGCTTGTGACATGAGAATATGCAAACTCATGAGCAGAACATTCTTGGGTCTTGGCCTACTTTCATATTCATCGGACCCAGATGTATTGGACCTATTTATACTTGGCTTTCTCTACTGCAATGTAATATGGTGAGCTGAGATAAAAAGCCTGCGAGTTCATATTACAATTCATTCATGTGATTAAGGGAGGGCTTCAATCCATTTTTCTTTTCTTTTTTTTTTTAATTGGTTTTTTTAATGTTTTATTCATATTTTAATCAATTTAAAATAAACAACAAGTGAAAATGTTGGACCCATAATGTCATGTAGGCAACTAATGGGGAGATCTAATCGAAACCCTAATGGCGAAACCACATTGTAACAAATTGAAAATATCAGTCTATCTAATTGCAAAAATAGAGAGAACAGGGATTAACATGCCTTATGAGTGCAACCACAGGGTACTAAACTGCCATTAATTAACCCTTTTTTTTTAATACAAATAATGTTTTAAATTGTGATCAAATTATGTAAAATGTTGCAATTCATCACCTATGTCTAACTCTGTTGAAGTTTTCGTTAAATTTAGGGGTGTTTCCGTAAATTCACTATAACTAAAAAAGAATTATAAAAAAGCAAAATTTAAAAAAGAAAAAGAAAAAAGAAACATTAATCACCAATAATACTTAAATTTTTATAATAAAAAATAGCTAAAATTTACCTCAAATTTTCATAAATTTGAGTTTTTATAAGAACTTTCAAATATAGCCCAAATACCCACTCGAACATACTTAAATGCCTTTAAAAAATAACCTATCAGATAAAGATTTGTGTATTTTGTACGCACCTGCAGCACTAGTCGAACGGTTGAGTGCTACATGGAAGAAAAAGGCATATCTGAGGAAGAAAGACAAGGCTACATAAACGATTTGATCTGATATGCATGGAAGAAAATGAATGAGGAGAGTGCCAAAAAAACTAGCAGCATACCAAAATCAGTTGTAAAAATGTTACTCAATATGGCGCGAACTGCTCACTCTATCTTTCAACATGGCGATGGTATTGGAACTTCAATTGGGGTCACCAAAGCTTGCTTAATCTCTTTGATTGCATATCCTACTCCTATATATCATGAACACAAGTGACCAAGATTATTGGTTTTGTTGTAATTGACTAGATTCTTAATTACAGGCCTCCTAAATTGATCAAAGATGAAAGGCGGAAAGCAATTGTATAAACACTCAGTTTTATGTGAATTTTCTGTTCTTAAGCATTTTTGCTAAAAGTGCTTTTACTGAAAACATTTTTATGCTAGAAGTACTTTCACTAGAAACACTTTATGCATTCACCATTACAGCAATCCGTGCTCTCAAAGGGTAAAGCATCCAAAAAGTTCCATGTCCCATCTTTCTTTCTTCTTCTTTTTTAGGATTTTTTCTATTGAGATGGGCAATAATACACTAAACTCACACACACTACACGAGTACTAGGACTCGAACCGAGGACCTTTCCTGAAGGGAGCAATTGCTCCAAACCACTACACTAGTGGATAGTGTAGTGGGTCTTTTGTTCCATCTTCTATATAAATCCATGGCCTTTGGAAAATAAAAGAAAAAGAAAAAGGCACCTAACAATATGATCTTGAGATGAGCAGCATTATTGAATACAATCCATTCCTTTTATATTAAAGTAATTGAGGAGTAAAGAGAGATTAGCACTAAAATTGTCTCACATGGAACTAAGTGAGTAGTAAAGGGTAGCATTGTCATTTCACAGTCAGGAGGCATAGTGTAAGCATGAAAAGGATGGATTAGTAAAGTAATTTGGCAAAAGGAAACATACAATAAGAATGGACTGAGTGATTGATACTGAACTGGGTTTTAGTGAGTGGATGCAGTGGCAGATATGTAATATGCTACACAAAACAGGCCATGAACAAAACACAAGCCCCCTCCAATTAACAGAAAATTATGGTGTGTGAAGCCACATGAAGCTCTTGACTTGTGGTTTGACCAAGTCCCAATCACGAGCACGCCCAATCCAACCCCAAAAATGATCCTGATCATCAAATGAAATTAACAATTAATCGTAATTAACCAATAATCTCATCATGTAATTTGAGAGAGAGAGAGAGAGAGAGAGAGAGAGAGAGAGAGAGAGAGAGAGAGAGCGAGCATATATATATGCATACCAGGAGAAGACGAGGCAAGCCACAGAAAGTTGCTTATTAGGAGGTGCCTTTTGGAGCTCTTCTTGAGAACAAATGCAATTGCATCCACCAAGCAAGTTAGCAACAACATGGGCTGCAACCAAAAGTCCTGCTGCAGCTAATCCCAGCTTGAAAGCTGCATGGCTTGGTTCTCTGCACTCGAAAATCCATCGCCTCAAGTGCTTGACCTTGTTTTGTTCAAGCTCTGCTTCGATGCCCATAATCCCACCTACGATGTCCATTGCCACGATCAAGAGGCACACGAAAAACCCTCCTAGTCTTGCCATTCTCTCTCTCTCTCTCTCTCTCTCTCAGCTGAGTTTGTTTGTGGACGATGAGCAGGAAGGGAGAGAGATGAAATATGAAATATGAATGGGGAGAAGAAAGAGTAACAAAGGGGACGAATATGTGTGAAAGGGTACGTACGAAAGTATGTAGAATGGATCGTTAGCTGGGAGAAGTGGGTAAAACAAACTTCTTTTGTCTACACAGTGCAAGCTTTATTTTGCTTTTGGGTCTTTTTTTCTCTCCTTTATATTTTTTATTTGGTCTTGGATTCCTTTGATGGGGGGGAGCAAGAAAAGAAGGGCATAAACCAGCTCCTAGGGGAGCGTGCCTAAGCTTCTTTTCTTACACCACCCACATACGCCCAAAGATGAATCGGTGGGTAATTCTCTGATCTTCAGAACCTTTTTGACTTTCATGTCGAAGATATTTTAGAAACCATTGATTTGATTGTGCATCAATTATTATTGTATCCTGCTCAGTCATTTTCTTTCTGCAAACTTTAGAAATTTTGGTAACGTTTTCACACATCCCTAGTTTTAGTACATCCATATCCTCCACAGTGAAGTGAGTTATAAAGTCTCTGAGTTGGTGATTAGATTCTAGTACGACAAAATGTGGAATGATGAATCGTGATGGAGATAATTGAAGATATCTAACGTAATTCTAATCAGAAGAGTAATTGGGCTTTTTGGGTGTGCGAATAGCGCGACGCTTTAATGTGGGCCTTTTCATGTCTCGGCTTGTGGCATGAGAATATGCAAACTCATGAGCAGCACATTCTTGGATCTTGGCCTACTTTCATATTCATCGGACCTATTTATACTTGGGTTTCTCTACTGCAATGTAATATGGTGAGCTGAAATAAAAAAAAACCTGCCAGTTCATATTACAATTCATGTGATTGCGGGGTTCAATCCAACCATCCGATCATTAAAAAGTTTAAGTTCCATATTTTCTCTCTTATTGGATAGTGGAATTAAACTCCTCCCACAACTCCCTCATTATAGCATTTCCAGATTGAGAAAAGCCTTATTAGATAACTCGATGTCAAAATCCATCAAAACCAAATAGGCCTAGCCCCATCCTTGAAAATTGCCTAAGAAAAAGAAGTGTGTTGGTAGAAAATCGAGTTATCTAAACTTTCTGATTTTAATTGACAAGGTGCATTTATCCATATATTACATGGCTTGTATTCATATAGCATGAGATCAGAATAAAACAATAAAAATAAATAATTGAAAGGAAAACAGAGAAGGAACAGCGGAGCATGGAAATACTAAAAGCAAAACCGATGAAATGCCATAGCAAGCAGACAAGCAGTCTGATGTTTTGCATGTTGTTTTTGTGTGAGAGTGAGAAAACAGAGAAAGTAAGGGTTGTTTGTTGGATTTGGGAAAAAGTAGAAAACATAGTATCATGCATGAACAATGTCAAACTGCAAATATATGATCACCCTTCCAAACCATAATAAAACATATAAAAAATACAATAACAACGACTGATGATTGCTCAGCAAGCAAGAAATTAAAAGTATCGGACTTTCAAACTGGAATTTCCCAGATTGTCATTTCATTTCAATTACAACTGTAAACAAAACAGTAGCTAATTAATACTCAAAATCACACTCTCTGTTTTTCTCTGTTTCTCTCTGTTTTTCTCTATTTCTCTCTGTTTCTCTCTGTTTTTCTCTGTTTCTAGCTATAGTTGCTTGCAACCCTGGTTACAATATTGTAATGACATATTTCCAACCCACACTCCGTCCCAAAAAGATCCCACTGACCACACTGACTACTTGATCAAAAAAGAAGGAGACAAATCAGACAAACTAATTAGAAAAGACTAATTAACAACTCGGAAATTAAGGTAAGCATATCACCCAATTAAGCAGTAACTAGCAGTAGTGAAGATGGAGGTAATATCAATGAATTAGGTTGTGGGAGAGTGAGAATCGAAGAAGAGATGGGGATAGTAATGCCGGAGAAGATTGAGGGCTCTGGAGGATCTGCTACAGTTGAACTTAGCCAACTGCTCGACGGAAAAGACACAGCAGCCTTGAGAGTACATGACGGTCTGAGCCACAGGAGAGTTGAGCAACACCTGCAGAAGCTGGTTGCGGCTCAGCCTCTCGAGCCCACCAGTGGTACGGCTACTCATTGGTGAAAGATGATCATCATCAAATCCAGTGGCGCTTGCAGAAGAGGTGTTGGGGGTGACGACGGGCATGGCTTGGAGCGCGGTGACCTGAGCCTGGAGGAACTTGACGTACTTGTAGGCTTCTTCGAAAACGGTGGCGGTGTCCATTTTTCTGTCTAAAGGAAGCAGCTTCTCAAGGCACCGAGTCTTGTCGCTGAGCTTCTGGCGCCGGCCGCGAGCCAGAGAGCTAGCGTGCGGAGATAGAGATGGAGATGGAGATGGGGTTCCCGTTTTCCTAGTTCTAGGCTTAGCAGGAATTTCGTATGGTGAAGAAGACGAAGAGGGCAAGAGGGCGTTGTGGGTATTGTTGTTAGGTGGAAATAGCGGGAGGGGGGTAGAGAGATGGAGATTTTGGAAGTGAGGAGGGTCGAAGAGGCGAGGGCGTTTGTAAGATGAGGAAGAAGATGAAGAAGAGTAGGGGGAATTAAATGGGTCGAGAGGGAGGAGATCTGGTAAGTGATGGAAGATGGAAGAGCAGTCATTCATGGAGTCATACGGAGAAGGGTGGTGGACGGGGGTGGTGGTAGCACTGGAAGCACTGTGCATGGTGAACTCCAAGTTGAGATCAGGTGGGTTGTTATAAAACTGGTATTGTTGTTGATGGAGATGATAAAATGGAGGAGAAGTGGAAACGTTGGTGTTGCTTGGGCTTGGGATTGGGAAATAGTCATGGTAATTGGAAATGGGTTCGTGCTTGGGCAGCCTCAGGATGGGGCTCTGCATCTGGGTCTGGATGTAGTCGGCTTCGGCGGCGGTTGTGAAGTTGAAGGTGGTGGTGGGGGAGTGGGTGGGAGTAGTAGTTATAAGGGTGTCTTGAGCGAATTCAGAGAAGGGAAGGGGCATTAGGGAGGAGGAGGACGACATTGCGTTTGGGTCGATAGGGTCGTCGTGGGCGGCGGGGGTGGATACGAAGGAGTGGAGGCTGAGGCCAGCGGAGGACAACATGGCGGTGAAGGTGGGGACCTCCTCTGCCTCCGCCTCCCAAGTGTTGGTTGTGTTGATTTCTTCTTGTGCTTTGGCCAACAATGACCTCATCAGCATCACCAACTCGCTATCTTCCATATTTCTCCTCTCTCTCTCTCTCTCTCTCTCTCTCTCTCTCTCTCTCTCTCTGTGCAAAAATGAATCCGCGAGCAGAGAAAAAATATAAAATATA